GTAGACCGGTATGGACCGGTAGACCGGTATGGACCGGTAGACCGGTAGACCGGTCGATCCAAAACCCAGACCGGTACCGGACCGAACCGGACCGGACCGGACCGGACCGGCCGGTAACCGGTACCGGTTCCATCTCTGGCTGGATAGATACCCGAAAGAGTATGCGAAAATACCTTTTCATTTCCTAAATGGTTTCCGAAAATACCAATGTGAAAAAGGGTATCATAGGATACCGAGATGCGTTTACGAAAATACCCAATCTGAAAAATGGTATCATAGAATACCGAGTTGGGTTTGCGAAAATACCCAATCTAAAAATACAATCATTGGAAATCAAAATAGGTTTGCGAATTTTGTGTTAACACTTAAAAGAGTTCCTAAGGCTTTCAACTTTTCTGATACCTTCATCAATTTTCTGATTGACATCTCAAAAACTTCGCAAAAGGATAGATGTGGATTTGAACCTTATTTTTTTCATATTCTTTCTCATGCTCAGCTTTGAACATTTTTATGAAACAGCAAAACACCGATCTAATTAATAATTGCGTATTGAATTATTCAAAATTGTTCCTGTGTAAACAGTTCCATGAAATGTGAAGCCAGATCATGCTTCATAAATAATGGAATGTTATTTGTGCGTTTTACTGTTGATCTTATTCTTCGGAATATAAAAGAGAATACAATATTAACAAATCGGGAACAAAATAAATAAATTAGACAATTACCATGTCTTTTTTCTTCCTTTTTTTGGTTGAGTTTCGCTAAAGTAAGAATTATATTGTAGCTATCGTGGATGTCAAAAATTACAGGAGGAATGAATTGCAGAAATTTCTATTCTTAAGTGAGAATTACAGTTGGTTTATTTCTAAAGATTATAGGCTTTTAAAACAAACAGAAAACTGCAACTTAAGTCCACATGTTAACAAATTAATGTCATTTATAAGACATATGAACAATATGTTTTCATATAACTTTCACAAGAACATAAGTCATGGATCTGATACTTTTGTCTTGTCTTCAGTCACTTTCTAGCTTTGTTCTATAATCGAATAAAAAGAAGGGTTCAATGTGTAAAGTACAAATCAATGCGATTTCTCTTATGTTTAATTATGATTTGCTTTAACTTCATTAGGTTGTGTCGTACTAATTTTGAGATTGGTCGAGGGCAACCGACAGACGAAGCAAAATAAGGAAAACAATGGTTATTTCATATTTTCTAATATTAATAAAATATTATATTGAAAAAACACTAATTTCTAAATGTAGAGAAGATCGTTAATCATGTTACAATCTTGTTTATAATTTCTCCGTTAGAGAATAGTTTATTAGAAGTTTTACTAAAATATTACGTTTTGGAAGGGAGATGAAATTGCTTATATTTACATTGCATTCATTGAAGACTTAGCTCAAGAACAAATTTTATTTTTACTGTCAGTATAAGAGAAATTTAGCTACAGGTTGACCATTTAAGCGTGCTTTTTATATTTGTTCTAAATTTTATTTAACAAAAGGCCTTGGGACGTCTATTTTATTACCGAATTTGATGCTATTATTATATATGAATATAAAGATGCCTTAATACTAGAAGAAAGAATAGTTAGAATACTTTTTTAGAGATGAATTTTAGTAGTCTACTCACGTGGAATCCAATGAGCATATTTCACACTACATATTCACAAATGGTTGCTTATTTTCTAAGCCTTTTCGATTTGAATGATATCAGGGTCCTCAACTATCGAACAAAACATCCGAATAGCTATGCAAGCTGATTCTTTTATTTCTGATTGCATATCTATCGAATAACGTCTCTATAATGAGTAGAAAACGCTTCACTAACGATACTTTTCCCTACAAGCACGCTCAAAAGCAAAGATTTTCTTATATAGAATCATTTTCACTTGAGCAAAATCCTGATGAAATATATTATATTGATCAAAAGCTTCTACATTAATTCCTCCGCTTTATCAATCAACTCTATCTGAGTAGCCATCTCATTCTCTTCGATTTCAATAATCTAAGATCATATTAATGATCAACTCGAAAATCTGCTTCACTTTAGGAAATGTCGTACCTTCATTTCATACCTCGTTCGAAAGCTTACTATTCTTATGCTTTCTGTCGTAAATTCATCTCGATGAATTCTATAATTCATGCGATGTTACATGAAATGTTTTTTTTTCTTACATATGTAAACATCTCAACAGGTAGATGAGTTATTTTAAATGATTTCATAAAATATTTCTAACTTATCATTTATACTTTTCAATACTACATTTTCTCTATCTATTCAGGGTGTTTATTTAATTTCATGAATACAACACTTTCCTAATTTTTCTTTTTCTATCATAACATGGCTCTGGAATTCGGTGAGTTCTAATCAACTAATTAAATTAAAACATTTTTTCACTTTTACTTTTTAGACTCGTTTTAGATAGCCATATATACCGTAAGTTTATTCCAAATATTAAATTAAAATACAATTTCATCTTAATTCATCGATTTGTTTCGAAAATCGAAAAAAAGTGTGAATTAATTCAATTTATTAAATAAAAATACAATCTTTAACTTTTGTTTGGAGATTCGATCCGTATTTATTAATATATCCGGTGAGTTTATTCCAATTACTAATTGAAAATGAAATTCTATTTTTATTTTTATTTTTAGATTCGTGGGATATCGATAGATCTAGTGAATTTGAATCAATTTATCAAATTAAAATGAAATTTTGTTTTTGATTTTAGATTCATTTTATAACTCAATATGTCGGGTGAGTTCATTGCAATTACTAAATAAGAATGAAAGTTCATTTTTACTTTCAGATTCGCTGTCTGTCAATAGATTCAGGGAGTTTGAATCGATGAATAAAATAAAAATACAATTTTATTTTCAGTTTTTGAATTCATGCGATATTGGTAGATCCGGTAAGTTTCAATCAATTTATTAAATTAAAATAATATTTTATTTTATTTTTATCTTCGTTTCATATTTCAATACATCATGTAAGTTTATTTCAATTACTAAATGAAAATGAAGTTTCGCTTTTACGTTTAGATTCGTTTTATATCTCAATATGTCTGGCCAGTTTACTCTAATTACAAAATGAACATGAGATTTTATTTTTATTTTTAGATTCATTTAATATCGATCGATTTGGTAAGTTTGAATCAATTTTCTAAATTAAAGTTTCATTTTTATTTTTAGACTCGTGTGATATCGATATATTCGGTGAGTTTGAATCAATGCGTTAAATAAAAATACAATTCTATTTTCATTTTTAGATTCGTTTTATATTCATAGATCTGGTGAGTTGGACAAAAATTCTTTAAATTAAAAAAACAGTTTCATTTTTATTTGTAGATTCGTTTTATATATTAGTATATATGGAAAGTTTGTTCAAATTATTGTACGAAAATGAAATTTTATTTTCATCCTTAGAATTGTTTTCTCGCAATAGGTCGGGTGAGTTTGAATCAATTTAGTAAATTAAAATATAATTTTCTTTTTATTTCTAGATGATTGTCGTAGGGTAATGTTTGATGAGCTATGAAATTCGTTCATTAACTATTTTGGTTGAATTATGTTTTACATGCGAAAGGGTGCTCATTAGTTTTGATGTGGTTGAATGTGAAGAAAACGGGTAAGTTTAGATGATTTTCGATGAAAAATTGTTTCTTTTGTTCATTTTTTAGGTGGAGAAGGCCGTTATATTTAGCTTCTTGATGGTTTGGTAATGGTGCAACGAAGTGCATCTGGATAATTAAAGTTTTTCTTTAAATTCCGTGTGTTGCTGACCTTTAATGTGTGTTCTAGTTATTTCTTGGTGCGAATAGATTCCCAGCAGAACCTCATTGAATGTCTGTGGCCGCTGTGAATGCCTGTTGCTGCTGACAGAGAAGTGATGGATTCCTGTCTAGGCTAGTTTGGTAGAGCTTTAACCGCATTCGGAAACCTTTTCTTTGGGTTTCCAAAGAGGTATTTGAGGTTTAGCTATAATGGGTACTATGGGTTTCCGAGGTCTCGGAAACCCTTCTTCGGAAACCCTTAAAGGGTTTCCTATAGTAACAAACTCGGAAACCCTCTAAGGGTTTCGATAATACCTATTTTTTTTAGAGTGTAGTAGTAGGACGATGGTGACGTTGATGAGTATAACTGTTGGTATTAGTAGTATGATGATAATTGTGATTAAGTTGATTAATATTTATATTTGTATTAGATATGGGCTTGATCGAACAAGTATTTAATTGTATGGATGATGAATGTATTCTTTTTTGTTTGGAAAACCAATTATATATTGCTCTTTCGATCAGATTTCGACCAGATGTTATGGATGGATGCAAGCCATCTTCATGCATATGTTGATGTTGAAGATTAGCATCAATGATTTCAAAGTGCATTTCTTTTGATAATTTATATAGAAGTTGATTAAATATTTGATTATTTTTGTTGATTTCTATAGAATTAAACAATTTTGATGGTTTCCATCTTGGCGAGAGTTTTAACCATCCAATAGCTTTTATTTGAGGAAATAATATTCGTGTACGTTCAATTAAAATTCGACATTGTTGAAGAGCAATTTTTGGTCCTAAATTTGCTACATCATTAGTACATAAAGAAAAAACAATAAAATCCGATAGCATTATATTATTTTGATCAATAGATTGTTTCTCTAAATAATTGAGCATTCGGCTGCAATCGCAGTCTGATTCAAATGATATTCTTACCTTTAAATCATTTAAACTTACGCTTTTTGATCGTACATACTTACACATTGAGTCAGATAATATTAATCCATTAAATTTATTTTTATTTTTAATCATATTATTATCGTTTCTATAACATTTTATTATGGGATCTGCAATTGGCGGATGTTTATTTTTAAATTGTTCAGCATGTTTAATCGTACGACAATTTCGTCGTGATGGTTGTTGAAATGAATTGAGAGGCATTAGAGATGATATATGATTAATATTTAAAGGTAATTTATTATTTTTCTTTTGATTATTATAATTGTATGTTTGTTTTTGATGTTCAATATTATTAGCAAAACCAGTAATATTTGTATAACCAGAAAAAGTAGTAGCTGAACCAGTTTGAAATTTTTGATAAGGATAGGAATTTTTTCATTGTCCTGCATTATAAAGATTTGGTTTTTTATTGTTAATATGTGGACGTAAATGAATATATGATGGAATAGTTTGTGGAGGTGAACGATTTTCAGATATATGGGTACGACAATTATTATTATCATTTGAGATCTTAAATTGTAAATTCATGTTGACTCTTTGAGCGAACGTATGAGCAGGTTATGGTTCGACGAATATATATATATATATAACAATTCTTTTTATTTTAGCAAGTCAACAGGATTGTTTTATTTCAATAGATAATAGTGAATCAGAATAATAATGAACAAAAATAAATAATAAATTTTTTGTATTTTTTTATTTTTTTATTATTTTTTTAACTATTTTTATTATATTGGTAATCAAGTAAAAAAATAATAAGAAAAGAAGAAGGAAAAAAAAACAAAAGGAAAAGAAATAGTAAGAAGAATATTAACAAGTAACGTTCATCGTCAAGCGATTCACTTAGCCCTAGACTGATAGAATACATGTACGGATGTAATAACATAAAAAACTACATTAAAAAAGTAATACGCAGCATTGATAATATTACCAGTATATCTTAGGCCACCAGA